GTCTTTGGAGTTATTCAATAGACACATGAACAAACAACGATAAAGGCAGAGATAAAAGATGAGCCTAGACTTAGCAGCACGAATTCACACATTCCAAGACAGATTCAGCTATTGTTGCCTTTACAAGTCAATTTATCAGAAGAAGAGATAAATATTAAATTCCCAGTGTAGCACTTTCATCAAAGAGGTGATTCTAAAGAGGCAGTTTTCCCTGTGTTGGATCAATCTTATCCCAGTTACTGTGGAAACACATTCAACATTTACTTGGGAAATACTGAAGTAATTTTAGTACCTTTAGTGGTGAGTAATTTCCTGTCTTCATTCTTAATCTGATAAAGTTATTAGGTGATCAAATGGTAATCACTGCAAAGTCAAAGGAAACCATAATGTTACAGTTGATGTTAAGGAAAGGGAAGCAAACAAAGAAATGAATCATGGTGTCTGAGCCTACCATTGCTAGGAGATTAAGTCAGATAAGTGTAGCTAGTATATTCCTTAGAAACACATATAGCAAGACTTTGTCTCACTTGTTTTGGACATGTTATCAGGACAGTGCAGTCCCTGGAGAAGGAAATCCTTCTTAGTGAAGTATAAGATCAGCAAAAAGACCCTCAGCCACATGAACTGACACAGTGACTACAATGATGGACATAAACACTGACAAGCATAAAGGTAACCCAAGACTGGACAATGTTTCCTTCCATTCAACACAGGGTCACTGAGTCTGAATTCACTCAACAACTCTTGATAATAATATTGTAAAACGTATTGGAATCTTATCAGGCACAAAATACTGTTGTTATTGTGTTTGTAATGTGCCGTTGAGTCACCTGCGACTCAAAGTGACCCTATATACAACAGCCCTAAGTCCTGCTCTATCCTGTGCCAGTCTTACTGTTCTCTGACACACCTTTCCCCATTACCCTATTACCCCAGTCACTGAATCAATCCATATTATTGAGAGTCTTCCTCTCCTGCTCTGTCCTTCCGTACTCCCAAGCATGATATTCCTCCCCAAGGACTCGTCCCTCTTTCCAACATGTCCAAAATGTCAGACAAAGCTTCAGAATCCTTGCCAACAAGGAGCAGCTTCGTTTAACCCTCTCCAGGATGAATCTGTTCATTCTCTTAGTAGTCCATGGTATATTCAACAATCTTCTCCATTACCACCACTCAAAGACATCAATTCTCCTTTTATCATCCATCGTCATTGTCCAGCTCTCTGAGGCATAGCAAGTAATTGCAAAGACCATGGCCTGGAATAAGTGCATCTTAGTCTTCTTACTGACATCATTGCTCAGTATTGCTTATCATTTGGAGAGGTCTCTGACAGCAGACTTTCCCAATGCAATTCGTCTTTTAATTTCCTGGCTGCTGGTACCAAGTGTGTTGACTGTGGAGCCAAGCAAACTAAAGCTGTTAATAATCTCAATCTCTTCATTGTCTATCATGCTGCTGTTAATTGGCCCAGTGGTGAGAATCTTTGTTTTCTTGATGTTGAGCTTCAATCCATATTGAAGGCTGCAGTCCTTGACCCTTTGCTGCGAGTGCTTTAGGCCCTTCTCAGTTTCAGCAAGCAGGGTTGTGTCATCTGCATAATGCAGATTGTTGATAAGTCTTCCTCCAATCCTGATGCTACATTTCTCCTCATAGGGTCCAGCCTCCCAGATGATCTGTCCAGCATAGAGATTGAAAAGGTATGGAGCTAGGACTCATTCCTGGCATACACCCATCCCAATTTTGAACCATGCAGTGTTTGCCTGATCTGTACTGACGACTGCCTCCTGGTCCAAGTATAAGTTTTGCATAAGTATGATCAAATATTCTGGTTTTCTCATTCTTCTTAAGGTTAACCACAATTTGTTGTGATTCACACAGTCAAATGCCTTGCATAGTCAATGAAACCGGATAGATGGTCCTCTTGTACTCCCTGCTTTCAGCCAAGATTCATCTAACATTAGCTATAATATCCTTAGTACCACAACCTCTTCTAAACTCATCCTGCACTCTGGCAGTTCTCTGTTTATGTGTTGTTCCAGTTGTTTTTGGATAATTTTTCAGCAGAATCTCGTTTGTATGTGATATTAATGATATTGTTTAATAATTTCCTCACTCTGTTGGTTTGCCTTTTTTTTTGAATGGGAAAAAAGTGTAGATCTCTTCCAGTCAGTGGACCAGGTGGTTGTCCTCCAGATTTGTTGGTGCAACTTGGTGAGCATGTCGAGGGGACAATCTCTTTGTTGAAATGTGGCAATTGGTATACTGTCAATTCCTGGGGCTTTGCCTTTTGCCAATTCTTTCAGAGCAGCTTGAATGTCTTCCTTCCTCACCACAGGCTCTTGCTGTTATGTTGTTTCATGAAATTCTTCTCTGTCCGCCAATTCCTTTTGGTACAGTGTTTCCGTATATTCTTTCTGTCTTCTTGTAATGCTTCCTGGATCATTTAATATTCTGCCAAAGAATCCTAAGTATTGCAACTCATGACTTGAATTTGTTCTTCAGTTCTTTGAGCTTAAGAAATGCTGAGCAAGTTAGGCCCCTTTGATTTTCTGACTCCAGCTCTTAGCACATTTCATTATACTTTATTGTCTTCCCATGCTGCCCTTGGAAACCTTCCATCAGCTCTTAATATCTTGATTTCTTCTCTTTGCTTTGGCTTGTCAGCATTCTAGTGCAATATTCAGAGTATTTTCTGACATTCAGCTTGGTCTTTTCTTCCTCCTCTGTCTTTGTAATGATTCCTTGCATTCTTCTTGGATGATATTCTTGATATCCTCCCACAGCTCATCTGTTTTTCACTCATTAGTTTTCAAGGCCAACCTGTTCCTGAAATGGTTTTGAAATTCAGGTGGGAAAAACTCAAGGTCATATTTTGGTTCCCCTGGATTTGATTTAATTTTCCTTCCCTTCAGCTTGAACTTGCTAGTTGCTCTAACATGATGATTGAATAACTATGAGGAAGACCATTGACCTAGGTAAGTAATTTGGCAGATACTGGTACTTGAAAATTTAACACTGAAATGGAAGTTTTTATAAAATATTATATTCCAATTCCTATTTTAGGAGGATTTGATAATTTCAGTTTTTCTTAATAACTCAGTGTCACCATAGGGACATCAAATATTATTTATAATTAATAGATATATCCTCAGAAGCTGCTGGTTTATATTTGCTATCAGAGACTGTGATGGTCCTGTTACTTAATCCTTGAAGTCTCTTCTCTAAATAGTGTGCTTGTTTTTTTATCTGCCTCTTTGTATTTATATTATTGCCAATGTCAGATGGATCTTGGCAGAAAGCAAAGAGTACCAGAGGAATGAATATTTATTTGTGTTTCATTGACTATCCAAAGGCATTTGACTGTATTAATCACAACAAATTGTGGTTAACTTTGAGAAGAATGAGCATCCCAGAACACTTGGTTGTGCATATGGAAAACCTATACTTGGACCAGCAAGCAGACTTCACCCAGAACAGAGCAAGGAAATCCTTTATGGTTCAAAATCAGAAAAGGATGGTGTTAGGAATGTGTCTCTCCATACCTTTTCAATCTAGATGCAGAACAAATAATCCGGGAGGCGAGGCTTTATGAGGAGGAATATGGCATCAGGATTGGAGTGAGACTAATCAACAACCTGGTTTATATACAGATGATACAACCTTGCTTGCTGAAACTGAGGAAGATCTGAAACACTTGCTGAAGAAGGTCCAGGACTGTAGTCTTCAATATGGACTGAAGCTCAACATCACCACTGGACCAATTGACAGCACCATGATAAATAGAGAAGAGATTGAGGTTGATAACAGTTACAGCTTCCTTGGCTCCACAGTCAACACTTTTGACTCAAGCAGTCGGAAAATCAAAAGATGAATTACACTGGGAAAATCTGTTCAGAGACCTCTCCAGAGAAACAAAGATGTCAGCCTAGAGACTAAGGTGCACCGGATCCAGGCCGTAATCTTCATAATTACTTGCTATACATCAGATAGCTGGGCAATGACTAAGTATGACAAACAAATTGATGCCTTTGTGGTGCTGGAGAAGAGTCTTGAACATACCATGGACTGTCAAGAAAACAAATAGGTTTGTCTTGGAGAGGGTGGAACCAAGTGTCTTCTTTGAAGTTAGGATTTTGAAGCTTTGTCTCACATACTTTGGACACGTGACCATGAGGGACCGATCCTTAGAGAAGGGCATCATGCTTAGAAGGATAGAGGGACAGCACAGGAGAGGAAGACCCCAGATGAGCTGGATTAATACAGTAACTTGGGCAATGGGGGTTGGTGTGTCAGAGTCAGTGAGACTGGCTCAGGACAGGGCAGGCTTCAGAGCTGCTGCACATAGGCTCTTTTTTCTCTCCATACATATGTATGGGTGTGAATATGAAATCTTTCTTTCTCCCTTTATATATTTTCCTTCTGGTGCTTATTCATCACATCATTGTGAGCATTATTTGAAATGGCTTCTCTAGCCCTGGCTATATGTTTTTGTTTAAATGCTGTCACCTATGATGTCTCCCTGGATTTTTCATTTGTTTTATTTTCTATCCAAATTATAAATAAGGAACTATCTATAGTAAACAAATTGGCTTTTTAAAAGAATAACGTTTTATTAGAGAAAGAGGAAATAAGACATGAAGTATAAAGGGTTTCTAGCATAAACTTAGCTCTCTAGTTATGCTTATTTCCTTACACTTCCTCTGTGTGTGGCTAGCTTCAGGAAAGAAGCTAGACAGAATTTGTAACATCTACATTGGATACTGATTTGGAGTTGGAAAAATACTGAGCTGTGTTTAAAATGTTAACTTTATGGTAGAAAAGTCAAGGTCAGAGTTTCCCATACTTTTTTCTTCTGATTTTTCACATGAAAATGTGTTTCCAGAACAGTGTGAAAATAGATTCCTGGATCAATTCAGGGAACACTTGAGAGGTGTGTATATGTGTATATATAGATATGTGCTTGCTTTTCTTTTTTTAAAGGTCAGGTTATCTCAGACAGGATGGTTGATCAGCTCCAAGGAAAATGGAAGTCCACTTGTTGTGAAAATTTTGAAGAATACATGGAAGAATTGAGTAAGTTCTATTTCCTTGTCTATTATATCAAGTGAAGAAGGGGTGTATTAATAGTGCTGAACTCAGACTATAAGTAACCAGATTAATATTGAACTACTTGGTAAGTGTGATGTTAGGACTTTTGAAATGGCTTTCCTAGACATTTTCTTAGTCCCCTCTGTGGGTATTATTCCCAGTTGCCTCGATCATGGACACTTGGTTTGCTGTTTGATTAGTAGCTTCTGCATTATCAACAGCTATGGGGCCAACAGAGAGAGCTAGTCACACTGCGGAGAGATTGCAGTATGGCATATCCTGACAGAGCCCTGGAGATGGAGCCAAAAGAGCTGAATTAGGAATGCTATAAGGCAAAGCTAGCTGGACAACAGAGGAAACCAGAGGATTATTTGTGTTGTTGGATTGAACCTGGACTGCCACAGTGTGATATCCTTGACCTTCCCTACCACCAAACCCCACAATTTTGTTGTGGTTATTAGAAATAGGTTCAGCAATGGAGGAACTATGTTTTACCATGAGATCAATTTTATATACTGGATGTTATTGATGGGAACAGTTCTCCTTTGTAGAGTTAGGGAAGTCAAACTCAACCTTTCTCTGCTGTCTCCACTCTTTTGACAAGAAGCAAGAAATATGGATTTGGTATATATTGTAAATATTGATCTACTTTAGGAAACTCTGGTTGAGTCGTCTGTAGGGAGTTGCACGACTAACCCAAAGGCCAAGCCTCTCTGCCAGCTTGAACTCACCAGAGGCTCTGCGGGAAAAAGATGAGCAGTCTCCTTCTTGGTGATTTATAGCCTTGGAAACTCACTGGAGAGTCATCTATAAGCCATTTCCAACTTGATGGCAATGAGAGAAAGAGAGAGTTCTATACAAGTCTATGTTGAGATTGAAATAGCCCTTGCTCTCCTGTAATTTAATGTGGATTTATACAAATAAAACATGCATATACTATGCACTAAACAGCCACTGATTTTAATATAAGATTCACACAAACATAATCACTTACAAAATAATCATTTTACAAACACTTGCTCTAAATATTTAGAGAATCATGGGACTAGATCTTATATTCCAGATTCAATTGGCTTTCAGCATTCCTTAGTTTGTCTCAATACTCCATCAATACTCCAATATCTGCTTTCATCATCACATAGGGCCCATCTGGGCAATCTAAGCTAATCTCTTTATTTTAAAATAATTTATTAATCTATATCTGCAAAATTTCTCTTTCCATATAAGATGGCATTCATAGGTTCCAGGAAATGGTCTATAACTCCCATGGATGACCATTTTTTCAATCTGTAATACTCCACCATTATTTGTAAAACTAGTAAGGACTAAATGTAATTTGTTCTGATGAGTTTTGAACTCTCATGGAACCTATACTTTCACACATTTGTCATGAGACTGTCTACCCTCGATTTGTTCCATCACTATATTTTGGAAACAGATAATTTGCACTCTAGATTCCACAGGTTGAGAGATGGGAAGGAATTTTGACCTAGGATAGAACATGCATAGATTCATGTCCATACCTGATTTAGTTGATTTGAAGATGAGACTTTGGACCTGGAGTTGCTATCAGATTTTTGAAATGATATTATCTGGTGAATGCTCGTTGAATGTTAGCACAAGTATGTCTTGAAGAAAGTACAATCAGAGTTTTGCTTAGAGGCTAAGATGATGAAACTTTGTCTCACATACTTTGGGCATATTTTCAGGAGAAATTAGTCTTCGGAGAGAGACATCATGCTGGGACAGGCGGAGGGTCAAAGAAAGAGAGGAAGA